ATCGCTGTTACTACTGGCATGGCAACAGAGGCTTACAGCGCTTCTATGATATGGTGGGTGTGTAAAGTGGTGAATGCGTGTTCCTGAGCAGGAGCAAGAGGGGGTTCAACATCAGATCTGCAGCTAGGCTGATGTCCAGTATGAGATGGTTTAACTCATGTTAAGCACCAACCAACTCACTGTAATGTCTGGCAAGTGCATTACGGGCTGCAAGAATAAATGAACAATAAAAAATGCTCTGAAGCAAGACCGAATTTGTTCTGCAAAATAGGCTGAAATTAATTCTAAAATTTATCACCATACCTGGTTCAACAAGCTCCGTATGCTAGGATATTCACGTCTTTGAGCTCCGTTTGGACCCGAGAACCTACTCGTATCAGACGAGGGAATTCGGAGCTCCTTTTGATATCGCGGATATCCAGCAACTTCTCCTCCACCTATTGCTGCCGCGTTTCGACAACGACAATCCTAACTTTCGCTAAACCTCCTTGTCACCTCAACTGCCCCGCCAAAGCTGCTGATGTTCCTTCGTCGAATCTGTTTTGTTACCCTCCACTGCCTCCGGGTTTTCTATCTGCCGTGTTTCGTCGCTTCGTGTGCGCTGCTAACGAACGTCGCCACCGCGGCTACAACAGGAAACGCTTCCCGAGATCAATCACAAGCCAGCCACAAGCGACAAAAACTTTCTCGGCGGTAATCAACTTGGCAGTAATCAGGAGCGGAATCTCTGAGTTTGATCGCAAGACAGTTTTGTCGGTCGTGACAGAAGCAGAGTCCAGAGTAGGACTGACGGATTCTGTCTGCACTCCAACTCGAACACCCCACGTCCGTCAACTTCTGACAGTTTCGTTTTCTCCACGCAGCTTATCCATGAGCGTTGTTCTGCGATCAGGTCAGATACTTCGGATTCTCCTGTCCCACGCACAGCGCTCCGGAACAGCATTACGGCTCGCGAGACGCCACGCGTCGGTGGAAAGCTGTATTCTTCCACGTCCAATCAGCTGGTGGCTTCGTTATAGTCATCGGCCTGTGAGAGGCGCTGCGCGTAGCCTCGTGTGGTGGCCGCTATTCGGCGCTTCTGGAGCAGCGATCGCACCAGGTGGGATCGAGAGGGAGGGAATGCAATGAGAGTTTCGAGACGCCTCAAAAACTGTCACACGAGTTTCCAGACGTCTTATAGCAAAACGCGATTCGGAGGTCCTGAAGCAAGTGGTATCGTAGACTCGGGTCCTACTATAAGCACCAGGTGCTTCTGAATCGAGTCTCATGAGATATTCAAGGTTCGAGCCCTACTCAGCAGGTGGGACCGAGAGGGAGGGAATGCGATACAAAGGGTGGTAAGATACAAGAAATGGATTTCCTGATGACTCGAGTCAAACGAGTCGGAATGCCGTTTGAACTGATCCAAACCGGACGGAATGCAGGTAACTTAGCCGGTGGATTAGGTAACGTGCGAAGCATGGTGAAGTCTGCGTGCGCATATGACGTTAACGGAATGAGTACGGCGAGGAAGGTCTTGGGACATGTTCTCAGCGAGCAGCAAACATGTCCCAAGACGCATATGACGTTAACGGAATGAGTACGGCGAGGAAGGTCTTGGGACATGTTCTCAGCGAGCAGCAAACATGTCCCAAGACGCATATGACGTTAACGGAATGAGTACGGCGAGGAAGGTCTTGGGACATGTTCTCAGCGAGCAGCAAACATGTCCCAAGACGCATATGACGTTAACGGAATGAGTACGGCGAGGAAGGCACGGGACGGTTTTTGAGGCGCCTAAAAAATGTGAGGCATGTTGGACCTACGATTACGACTTGAGACGTCTCAAAACTAAATGTGAGGCATGTTGGAGCTACGATTACGACTTGAACGGAATGCGTAATGCGGTGGAGGGAGGGGCCGTTCGGCACGCCAATGGCTTGCAAAGAGCACAGGCGAGAAACGCATAGTTGCGCGATGCAATGCTATTTGATGCGACGCAATGCGATGCAGAGTTGGGCAATGCATAACCCACGACCTCCATCACTCCAGGATGGCACGGCACGACTCTTGCAATGCAGGCCGCAAGGAGACGTGTATGAAGATGAGTGTTCTGCACCAACTCGCCCAGGGAATGGGAGGGGAGACGCGTGGAAAACGCATCATTCCCATTTTTTCTCCTCCCTTCCATTCATCCCTCCCTTTACTACCAATGTGGCCGCTAGTGCCGGCGGCGGTGGTGGCAGCAGGGGGCGCGTGGGCGCACTGGGCTCAGACCAAATCGCCCAGGGAGTGGGAGGGGAGACGCGTGGAAAACACATCCTCTCCTACCACCCTTCTGCCCATTTCTCCCTCCCTCTCATTGCCAGATTGAGCCGTTGGTGCCAGTGGCAGTGGTGGCAGTGGGAGGTGCGTGGGCACGCACTGGGCTCAGACCAACTCTTTCAGGGAGTGGGAGGGGGGGCGCATGGAAAGCACATCCTCTTCTACCACCCCTCTGCCCATTTCTTCCATCCACTCCCTACCAGATGTGGCCGCTAGTGCCGGTGGCCGTGGTGGCAGTGGGAGGGGCATGGGCGTACTGGGCTCAGACCAACTCTCCCAGGGAGTGGGAGGGGGGGCGGCGCAAGGGCATCGTGCCCTTCTTAAAGCCACAGTCATATTATGTGGGTGGTGACGTCTGCATGCATGGGTGGTGACGTGTGCATGCATGGGTGGTGACTTGTGCATGCATGGGTGGTGACTTGTGCATGCATGTGTGCTGACGTGGGCATGGATGGGTGTTGACGTGCATTGCTTGCTTGCCCCTCTTGAAAGCCTGTGCTTCTTGCTGCGTTAATGTTTCTGGCTGTGGGGTGGCTGGCATGGCCATTGTGCTGTTCTTACATCCTCTTGCTGACTTTAAAGTCTAGTACCGCTATTAAAGCCCCATTTGTACTGCGTGGGTTTTGACATTTGCAACCCAGTTCGTCTGTTGAACCCAGTTCAGTTAACAAGCTGTAAAGTCTGCAGTGTTTTACTGGTCTCTATGTGGGTAGATACTGTGGAGCTGTTACCAACAAGCCCATGCTGCACTGTCAACACACATGCCTCACATGTCGTGCTCTCTTCCTTTACCTCACACTCTCTCCCGTTTCCCCATATCACCTCCGCATGTTTGTGTTATGCAGGATTCAAAGGGAGTGAAGACCGTCGAGGTGAGAAGCATGGCTTTGCTCACATCACATCTGTATCGACACTCTTGACCAACCAGCTTCGGCACTTAAGGGCTGGTCTAGTTTTGAGGCGCCTCAAAACTAGGCGTTGCTCACATCACACCTGTATCAACACTCTTGACCAACCAGCTTCGGCACTTAAGGGCTGGTTTCGAGGGGCGCCCGTTTTCTGTACGGGCTGTATCAAATGCTCCACATGCTTTTGAGTCGACTCGAAAACCGTTTTCTGTACGGGCTGTATCAAATGCTCCACATGCTTTTGAGTCGACTCAAAAACCGTTTTCTGTACGGGCTGTATCAAATGCTCCACATGCTTTTGAGTCGACTCAAAAACCGTTTTCTGTACGGGCTGTATCAAATGCTCCACATGCTTTTGAGTCGACTCAAAAACCGTTTTCTGTACGGGCTGTATCAAATGCCCCACATGCTTTTGAGTCGACTCAAAAACCGTTTTCTGTACGGGCTGTATCAAATGCTCCACATGCTTTTGAGTCGACTCAAAAACCGTTTTCTGTACAGGCTGTATCAAATGCCCCACATGCTTTTGAGTCGACTCAAAAACCGTTTTCTGTACGGGCTGTATCAAATGCTCCACATGCTTTTGAGTCGACTCAAAAACCGTTTTCTGTACGGGCTGTATCAAATGCTCCACATGCTTTTGAGTCGACTCAAAAACCGTTTTCTGTACGGGCTGTATCAAATGCCCCACATGCTTTTGTCACCCTCTTATCATGCACTGTCATGTGCCCTCACCCCCACCCTCGTCACGCTCTGCCATGCCATGTGTCGTCATCCCCACCCTCATCACTCATTGCCATGTGCTTCTCACACACGCATTCATGCCTAACCTCCCAAACCACCCCCCCTCATCCCCCATAGTCAGTATAGGTGTACTATTGCAACAGACTAGTCACTAGCACATTGCGCACACATTCGTGTCTGCCGTCCAAACCCTCCGTTTCCCTCACCACCCACGCCCCCCCACCCCCCAACCAGCACAGGTGTACTATCGCAACAGCAGAGGCGTCGAGATCTTCACGAAGCGATGGCAGCCGTTGGATGGGGTGGTGAAAGGAATCGTGGTGTACTGCCATGGCTATGGTGACACATGCACATACCACTTTGATGGTACGTGGAGGTGATCTGATGATGCATGAATGGCGCACACGTGCATGCACAGCACAGGTTACATGCACATACAACTTTGATGGTATGTGGAAACGGTACAATGCTACTGATATGTAATTCACATGCACGTATGTACCATGTATCTGATAATAACCACTTATCAGATACATTGGTTTTGTTCAACTGTTCCCTCCCACCTACGAATGCATGCTGCAAACGCCTCTTGACGCACCTCAAAAGGCATTCACGGCTCCCATCTCCTTCCTCCCACCCGCCTTCCTTCCCTCGCTCCATATCCATGTCATAGCTTGTAATCCCCGAACCCTAAACCCTGGGCAACTCCGCTTCCTGCCACCTTCTCCCTGCCACGTATGCATGTCTTCCAGCCGTGGCAGTGAGTTGATTTTTGAGGCGCCTAAAAAATGTCATCCCGCCGTGGCAGTGAGCATGGCACAGCTCCATGGCCTGGACTATCTGTGCTCTCGTATGGCCTGCACACATGCATGATACATCCCTTCGCCCCCCCTTTTCTTTGCATCGCTTTCAGCCGTGGCAATGAGCATGGCACAGCGGCAGTATGCCTTGGACTATGAGGGCCATGGGTGCTCGCACAACCCTCTCCCCCTTTTCTCCCTGCCCCTTTCCCCCTCCCATTTCCCCCTCCCCATTGTCCACCAGCCGTGGCAATGAGCCTGGCACAGCAGCAGTATCTGGTGTATGGCATGGACTATGAGGGCCATGGGTGCTCCCTCTCATGACCTGCATGCATACATCCTCCCTTCCCACTCCTTCTGCCCCCTTCCCATTTTGTCGACCGCCAGACGTGGCAGTGAGCCTGGCACAGCAGCAGTACCTGGTGTACGGCATGGACTACGAGGGCCATGGGTGCTCCCATCCCAAGGCCTGCATGCATACATCCCACCCTCCCTTTCCCCTCCTCCCCTCTCTCCCCTTCAACTCTCCCCCTTCTCCCCTGTCGTACATCAGCCGTGGCAGTGAGCATGGCACAGCAGCAGTATCTGGTCTATGGCATGGACTATGAGGGCCATGGGTGCTCCCAAGGGCTGCATGCGTACATCCCCCGCTTCGACACCATCATAGACGATGTGGTTGAGTTCACCGACGCGCTAAGAGGTGGGTGTGGGTGGGTGCAGCAGTACAGCCACTTGCAGGTGGGGTGCTCGCAGGGCCTCCATGCATATATCCCCCGCTTCGACACCATCCATGATGTGGTGTCGCTTGACTTCTGTTTGAGTCGACTCAAAAAGGCGACACAATCATCCATGATGCGATGTGGTGGATTTGAATTCGGCGACGCCATGGAAGATGGGTGCGCCCATACGTGGTGGTACAAGTTGGGGTTTGATTTTGATTCGTCTCAAAACCCAGCTTCTATCACATGGCCATTCATGATGTGGTTTGAGTTCGACCACGCCTTGGAAGTTGGGTGTGCTCGTACGTGTGGATCCTGAAGAAAGTATTTTGAATTGTTTCTTTTGAGGCGCCTCAAATCCCTAACTCCCTTCCCCTCCACATCCTTGCAGCTTCACCTGCCCTCTCATCTCTCCCGGTGTTCCTGTACGGCGAGTCAATGGGCGGTGCAGTGGCCCTTTAAACCCACGCACTGTCTCACATACCTCTCCTTTCACCTCCCTGCCTCTCTGTGTGCATCCCATTCCCCCACACACTCCCTCGCAGCCTCACCAGCCCTTTCATCCCTCCCGGTCTTCCTGTACGGCGAGTCAATGGGCGGCGCAGTGGCCATCAAGACGCACTGGCGCCGCCTAGACGCCTTTCGAGGAGCCGTCCTACTGTCGCCCATGTGCAAGGTAACCATGTGGTAACCACGTGGTAACCAGTGGTAACCAGTGGTAACCATGGGATAACTGTTTGGTAACCATGTGGGAAGTATGTGTGGCCATGAAGTAACCATGTCATAACCATGGAATGGTGGTGAACATGATGATAGGAGTTGCCATATGCAATTGATGTCGCTGCTACAACAGTGTGTGGTAACCATGCAACGGTTGCCGCCCATGGTTGCCGCCCATGGTTGCCGCCCACGATTGCTGCCCACGGTATTCTTTCCCATTATTCAGTATGATTGTCAAAGGCTCTCTAACGATCACCAGTGTTGGCCTTCATTACAAATTATCATCTTCTCTTGTTTCCACCCTTCGATACAAGAACCTGCCATGCACTGCTACTCTCCCACCACCCAGCTCCTCCCCCAAAGTATTCACCATATACCACCACTCCCCTACCCTCTCCTCACTTGGATCGCTTTTGAGTCGACTTAAAAGCACCACATACCACCACTCCCCTACCCTGTCCTCACTTGGATCGCTTTTGAGTCGACTTAAAAGCACCACATACCACCACTCCCCTACCCTGTCCTCACTTGGATCGCTTTTGAGTCGACTTAAAAGCACCACATACCACCACTCCCCTACCCTGTCCTCACTTGGATCGCTTTTGAGTCGACTTAAAAGCACCACATACCACCACTCCCCTACCCTCTCCTCACTTGCATCGCTTTTGAGTCGACTTAAAAGCACCACATACCACCACTCCCCTACCCTGTCCTCACTTGGATCGCTTTTGAGTCGACTTAAAAGCACCACATACCACCACTCCCCTACCCTGTCCTCACTTGGATCGCTTTTGAGTCGACTTAAAAGCACCACATACCACCACTCCCCTACCCTGTCCTCACTTGGATCGCTTTTGAGTCGACTTAAAAGCACCACATACCACCACTCCCCTACCCTGTCCTCACTTGGATCGCTTTTGAGTCGACTTAAAAGCACCACATACCACCACTCCCCTACCCTGTCCTCACTTGGATCGCTTTTGAGTCGACTTAAAAGCACCACATACCACCACTCCCCTACCCTGTCCTCACTTGGATCGCTTTTGAGTCGACTTAAAAGCACCACATACCACCACTCCCCTACCCTCTCCTCACTTGGATCGCTTTTGAGTCGACTTAAAAGCACCACATACCACCACTCCCCTACCCTCTCCTCACTTGGATCGCTTTTGAGTCGACTTAAAAGCACCACATACCACCACTCCCCTACCCTGTCCTCACTTGGATCGCTTTTGAGTCGACTTAAAAGCACCACATACCACCACTCCCCTACCCTGTCCTCACTTGGATCGCTTTTGAGTCGACTTAAAAGCACCACATACCACCACTCCCCTACCCTGTCCTCACTTGGATCGCTTTTGAGTCGACTTAAAAGCACCACATACCACCACTCCCCTACCCTCTCCTCACTTGGATCGCTTTTGAGTCGACTTAAAAGCACCACATACCACCACTCCCCTACCCTCTCCTCACTTGGATCGCTTTTGAGTCGACTTAAAAGCACCACATACCACCACTCCCCTACCCTGTCCTCACTTGGATCGCTTTTGAGTCGACTTAAAAGCACCACATACCACCACTCCCCTACCCTGTCCTCACTTGGATCGCTTTTGAGTCGACTTAAAAGCACCACATACCACCACTCCCCTACCCTCTCCTCACTTGGATCGCTTTTGAGTCGACTTAAAAGCACCACATACCATCACTCCCCTACCCTGTCCTCACTTGGATCGCTTTTGAGTCGACTTAAAAGCACCACATACCACCACTCCCCTACCCTGTCCTCACTTGGATCGCTTTTGAGTCGACTTAAAAGCACCACATACCACCACTCCCCTACCCTGTCCTCACTTGGATCGCTTTTGAGTCGACTTAAAAGCACCACATACCACCACTCCCCTACCCTGTCCTCACTTGGATCGCTTTCGAGTCGACTTAAAAGCACCACATACCACCACTCCCCTACCCTGTCCTCACTTGGATCGCTTTCGAGTCGACTTAAAAGCACCACATACCACCACTCCCCTACCCTGTCCTCACTTGGATCGCTTTTGAGTCGACTTAAAAGCACCACATACCACCACTCCCCTACCCTCTCCTCACTTGGATCGCTTTTGAGTCGACTTAAAAGCACCACATACCACCACTCCCCTACCCTCTCCTCACTTGGATCGCTTTTGAGTCGACTTAAAAGCACCACATACCACCACTCCCCTACCCTCTCCTCACTTGGATCGCTTTTGAGTCGACTTAAAAGCACCACATACCACCACTCCCCTACCCTCTCCTCACTTGGATCGCTTTTGAGTCGACTTAAAAGCACCACATACCACCACTCCCCTACCCTCTCCTCACTTGGGTCGCTTTTGAGTCGACTTAAAAGCACCACATACCACCACTCCCCTACCCTCTCCTCACTTGGATCGCTTTTGAGTCGACTTAAAAGCACCACATACCACCACTCCCCTACCCTCTCCTCACTTGGATCGCTTTTGAGTCGACTTAAAAGCACCACATACCACCACTCCCCTACCCTGTCCTCACTTGGATCGCTTTTGAGTCGACTTAAAAGCACCACATACCACCACTCCCCTACCCTCTCCTCACTTGGATCGCTTTTGCGTCGACTTAAAAGCACCACATACCATCACTCCCCTACCCTGTCCTCACTTGGATCGCTTTTGAGTCGACTTAAAAGCACCACATACCACCACTCCCCTACCCTGTCCTCACTTGGATCGCTTTTGAGTCGACTTAAAAGCTCCACATACCACCACTCCCCTACCCTCTCCTCACCTGGATCGCTTTTGAGTCGACTTAAAAGCACCACATACCACCACTCCCCTACCCTGTCCTCACTTGGATCGCTTTTGAGTCGACTTAAAAGCACCACATACCACCACTCCCCTACCCTGTCCTCACTTGGATCGCTTTTGAGTCGACTTAAAAGCACCACATACCACCACTCCCCTACCCTCTCCTCACCTGGATCGCTTTTGAGTCGACTTAAAAGCACCACATACCACCACTCCCCTACCCTGTCCTCACTTGGATCGCTTTTGAGTCGACTTAAAAGCACCACATACCACCACTCCCCTACCCTCTCCTCACTTGGATCGCTTTTGAGTCGACTTAAAAGCACCACATACCACCACTCCCCTACCCTCTCCTCACTTGGGTCGCTTTTGAGTCGACTTAAAAGCACCACATACCACCACTCCCCTACCCTCTCCTCACTTGGATTGCTTTTGAGTCGACTTAAAAGCACCACATACCACCACTCCCCTACCCTCTCCTCACTTGGATCGCTTTTGAGTCGACTTAAAAGCACCACATACCACCACTCCCCTACCCTCTCCTCACTTGGATCGCTTTTGAGTCGACTTAAAAGCACCACATACCACCACTCCCCTACCCTCTCCTCACTTGGATCGCTTTTGAGTCGACTTAAAAGCACCACATACCACCACTCCCCTACCCTCTCCTCACTTGGATCGCTTTTGAGTCGACTTAAAAGCACCACATACCACCACTCCCCTACCCTCTCCTCACTTGGATCGCTTTTGAGTCGACTTAAAAGCACCACATACCACCACTCCCCTACCCTGTCCTCACTTGGATCGCTTTTGAGTCGACTTAAAAGCACCACATACCACCACTCCCCTACCCTGTCCTCACTTGGATCGCTTTTGAGTCGACTTAAAAGCACCACATACCACCACTCCCCTACCCTGTCCTCACTTGGATCGCTTTTGAGTCGACTTAAAAGCACCACATACCACCACTCCCCTACCCTGTCCTCACTTGGATCGCTTTTGAGTCGACTTAAAAGCACCACATACCACCACTCCCCTACCCTGTCCTCACTTGGATCGCTTTTGAGTCGACTTAAAAGCACCACATACCACCACTCCCCTACCCTCTCCTCACCTGGATCGCTTTTGAGTCGACTTAAAAGCACCACATACCACCACTCCCCTACCCTGTCCTCACTTGGATCGCTTTTGAGTCGACTTAAAAGCACCACATACCACCACTCCCCTACCCTGTCCTCACTTGGATCGCTTTTGAGTCGACTTAAAAGCACCACATAACATACCACCACTCCCCTACCCTCTCCTCACTTGGATCGCTTTTGAGTCGACTTAAAAGCACCACATACCACCACTCCCCTACCCTGTCTTCACTTGGATCGCTTTTGAGTCGACTTAAAAGCACCACATACCACCACTCCCCTACCCTGTCCTCACTTGGATCGCTTTTGAGTCGACTTAAAAGCACCACATACCACCACTCCCCTACCCTGTCCTCACTTGGATCGCTTTTGAGTCGACTTAAAAGCACCACATACCACCACTCCCCTACCCTGTCCTCACTTGGATCGCTTTTGAGTCGACTTAAAAGCACCACATACCACCACTCCCCTACCCTGTCCTCACTTGGATCGCTTTTGAGTCGACTTAAAAGCACCACATACCACCACTCCCCTACCCTCTCCTCACTTGGATCGCTTTTGAGTCGACTTAAAAGCACCACATACCACCACTCCCCTACCCTGTCCTCACTTGGATCGCTTTTGAGTCGACTTAAAAGCACCACATACCACCACTCCCCTACCCTGTCCTCACTTGGATCGCTTTTGAGTCGACTTAAAAGCACCACATACCACCACTCCCCTACCCTCTCCTCACCTGGATCGCTTTTGAGTCGACTTAAAAGCACCACATACCACCACTCCCCTACCCTGTCCTCACTTGGATCGCTTTTGAGTCGACTTAAAAGCACCACATACCACCACTCCCCTACCCTGTCCTCACTTGGATCGCTTTTGAGTCGACTTAAAAGCACCACATAACATACCACCACTCCCCTACCCTCTCCTCACTTGGATCGCTTTTGAGTCGACTTAAAAGCACCACATACCACCACTCCCCTACCCTGTCTTCACTTGGATCG